AGTTGACTCATCGAACAGTGTAAAAGAATGACATTCATACAAACTTTAGTCTTTACAGTTAGCATATGCATGTATTAGATTTAAAATTGTATTTTTTTATTTATTTATTTATTTAACCATCGTTATTTATTAACGTTGCTCATGATTGATTATTTGACTGAAAAAGGGTCCACTTTAAGTGACCGAAACTTTGTCATTATTCAATTGAGATTAAACAGTGATAACTGGTCTAATCATTTGTTGTTATTACAATTATATTCTTCTAGTTATTATATTAAAAAATATTCCTGAATAAATATACAAACGATGCTTATGACTGAGATTATGCCTTATATCATTTATAAACTTCGAAATGCTACGTAGCAAAGAATGTACTTATCTTAAAAATGCTTATGAACGTTTGACCTTAAAAAAACAAGAGATTTTTGTCAACCTTTATTTATTAAAACATTTACTTATCTACTAGCCACATACTTTATTATAATTATGACCCATATACTTTTGAATATATTTTAGTACGAAAGTTTTAATTTATTTTAATAACGGTTCGTAATTTATTTTTAAAATTGATCTAGACTTTTTACGTGTCTACTGTATAATTTTTATTTTTCCAGAAAAATGAGAGGTTATCTTTTTCAACTCCTTCAGTACATCACCCATCGATTGATATAAGCCAAAGAGTTATTATGACACCTGAGATTAAAGCTAAAGTACGCAGCAATCACGTTGATCTTGGTCGTGAAACTGAGGCATCAAATGATCAAATTATAGACAGTAAAATATTAAATTTAGAAACGTGTAAAACATCACAAGATAGTTTAGAATTGAGTAATAATGTGGCATCTCACATAACGACAAAAGAAAATAACATTACGAAATTGCATCCTTCAAATAATGATGTTTACAAAAACCTAGATACATACATAGAAAATTCAAATTCAATACATAATTTAGGCGAAAAGATCATACATCAGTGTGAAGAAATGGGTGTTAAAGAAAAACATCTGGCTACATCTTTTCAGAATAATAAACAAAACGACACGTCTTTAGAATACCATACTAACAGTAAAATAAGAAGTTTAATTAATTCACTAAGTAATGCTGCTAATGAATCAGAAGTTAACCATGATTATAATAATTCTATCCTTTTGTCTCAGTGTGAATATGAAAAAGCAGAAACTATACCAACTATAAACAATAAGTCTGATGTTATACACGAAAAAAATTCAGGCTTTCGATCAAATAATACTGTAACTGATGAAATTAATACCTCTGTAGGAAATTTTATCCTGAATGAAGATGAAACTGCCTGTTCATCGTACATCCCGGAAACTCCTGAAAACCAAGAAAGAGACCAAGATCAAGATAGTGCGATTAGTACCTCATCATATGAAATCCCTCCATGCGAAGAGCTCAATATCACATCATCAAATATCATATCAGTATCGACGAATTGTGAACATTCTAGTATTCATAATAATGGAGTATTGGAAATACCAACTTCTCCATATTCTACAAATCCGGATTCTATTGCTAGTTGTGGTGATGAGGTTGCAGAATCTTGTTATGAAAACCAATTAATAACTGAGCCAAGTGTGTCAACGTCCTACCAAGATGGTATATCTATACCAAATTTCAGAGAAACTCAGCTGGGTTCTCACAGTAATGTAAGTAGTGATTCTAAGAATACAATTAAAACTGCTAATTTTTATAATCATACAGAGATGACAAAAAGCTACTTTGAGAGCATTAGCAAAGTGACCAACCCTACAAGAGAATTAAAAAATGACTTAGAGGAAAAAACACTTCAATATTATGAAGATAATTCTGAAAATATCAGTTCAGCTTCAGAACTTTATTTAAATGAAGAAGTAAACTCAAATTTTAATAGTCATGATGCTTCGGACAATTATTATGACTCACAGTCAGAAATTATTCTTGATCAAAGTTATTATTCCACCTCTGGTAATAAATTACACTGTCACTCAGTTCTCCAAAACCATAAAGAAGCTCAGCATTTCTGTCAAAAAATGGAAAATAATGAACAAAAAAGCGAGAAAATTTCTTATGCTAATAAATGTGCTTTAGATAGTGTTTCGGACTCTTCTAAACTAGATGAAGCTGTACAAATTAATGACACCAGATCTGCAAACAAAAAATCTATGATATAAAAACAGAATACTGGATCTTATTTTTAAGGATTTTTACGATTTTCAGTAAATAATTTTTTTTTTAGTCATCTTCATATTTTTTTTTAGTTTACAAAATGACTAAAATTTAGTTGTATTTTAAATTTCTAAGATGTACAGAGTTTTTAGTCAATATACATACTTTTGTTTCTATATTTTATCGAACAGTGACTTGGAAAGTAATTATTTATTCTTGCATCTTATCCGACGCATTAATATATAATCATGCACAATATTTATCTAGAACACTGATAAGTTTGGCTAACGATCAAAAATTAAGTCAAACTCTTTGTATCTAGCTTCATTACTTTTAACATAACTCTAATCTTACTAAGGGAGCCTGCTGAGTATAAAACTTAATGTTTAATTTTTCTTAGTAGTGCTGTGTATGTGCATTTACTTAAAAGTACTCTAAGAATGTGAGATGTAAATACTGTGAAAACTTCCTTTTTTGTTTATAATTGTTTAATTAAAAAATTCAATATTACTATTCTGTTAGAAAATTTTTTTTTCCATTAGTTATTTCAATTTATCAATCGTATCTTTTAATCGTATGTAAACACACCTTCTTAAAACTTGTGTAAGTTTTTGATAACATTACTGTAGATTAAAGGGTGGTGTAAAATTAATTTTAATAGCGATACAATAGAACCTGTTGAATTTCTATACCAAATAATTCATAGTAATTTCATTAAGTTCAAAACATTTTTATCCTAAGGTATAGTTGACTCATCGAACAGTGTAAAAGAATGACATTCATACAAACTTTAGTCTTTACAGTTAGCATATGCATGTATTAGATTTAAAATTGTATTTTTTTATTTATTTATTTATTTATTTAGAATTTTTTGTCTTGTACAACTGTTTCACAGAATAGCCTTATATTTTTGCTGGAGGAATAAGTAAAACCACCACTTATTAAGACATGTAAATCGACTATCTTTAAAACTTTGTACCTACTTAAATTTAAATTTAGTGTAAAGATTCATTTTCATACCACAACCTAACAGTTAAAAATCCAAAAAATTATGACATGAGAAAAATTTTACCAACCTGAAAATTCTAAGAGCTTAAGAAATTAGAATTAGCTTTTTGCATTTAACTTTTAAGGTAGATATGTAAGGCCTATACCCAGTAATAAAAATTATGACCCATATACTTTTGAATATATTTTAGTACGAAAGTTTTAATTTATTTTAATAACGGTTCGTAATTTATTTTTAAAATTGATCTAGACTTTTTACGTGTCTACTGTATAATTTTTATTTTTCCAGAAAAATGAGAGGTTATCTTTTTCAACTCCTTCAGTACATCACCCATCGATTGATATAAGCCAAAGAGTTATTATGACACCTGAGATTAAAGCTAAAGTACGCAGCAATCACGTTGATCTTGGTCGTGAAACTGAGGCATCAAATGATCAAATTATAGACAGTAAAATATTAAATTTAGAAACGTGTAAAACATCACAAGATAGTTTAGAATTGAGTAATAATGTGGCATCTCACATAACGACAAAAGAAAATAACATTACGAAATTGCATCCTTCAAATAATGATGTTTACAAAAACCTAGATACATACATAGAAAATTCAAATTCAATACATAATTTAGGCGAAAAGATCATACATCAGTGTGAAGAAATGGGTGTTAAAGAAAAACATCTGGCTACATCTTTTCAGAATAATAAACAAAACGACACGTCTTTAGAATACCATACTAACAGTAAAATAAGAAGTTTAATTAATTCACTAAGTAATGCTGCTAATGAATCAGAAGTTAACCATGATTATAATAATTCTATCCTTTTGTCTCAGTGTGAATATGAAAAAGCAGAAACTATACCAACTATAAACAATAAGTCTGATGTTATACACGAAAAAAATTCAGGCTTTCGATCAAATAATACTGTAACTGATGAAATTAATACCTCTGTAGGAAATTTTATCCTGAATGAAGATGAAACTGCCTGTTCATCGTACATCCCGGAAACTCCTGAAAACCAAGAAAGAGACCAAGATCAAGATAGTGCGATTAGTACCTCATCATATGAAATCCCTCCATGCGAAGAGCTCAATATCACATCATCAAATATCATATCAGTATCGACGAATTGTGAACATTCTAGTATTCATAATAATGGAGTATTGGAAATACCAACTTCTCCATATTCTACAAATCCGGATTCTATTGCTAGTTGTGGTGATGAGGTTGCAGAATCTTGTTATGAAAACCAATTAATAACTGAGCCAAGTGTGTCAACGTCCTACCAAGATGGTATATCTATACCAAATTTCAGAGAAACTCAGCTGGGTTCTCACAGTAATGTAAGTAGTGATTCTAAGAATACAATTAAAACTGCTAATTTTTATAATCATACAGAGATGACAAAAAGCTACTTTGAGAGCATTAGCAAAGTGACCAACCCTACAAGAGAATTAAAAAATGACTTAGAGGAAAAAACACTTCAATATTATGAAGATAATTCTGAAAATATCAGTTCAGCTTCAGAACTTTATTTAAATGAAGAAGTAAACTCAAATTTTAATAGTCATGATGCTTCGGACAATTATTATGACTCACAGTCAGAAATTATTCTTGATCAAAGTTATTATTCCACCTCTGGTAATAAATTACACTGTCACTCAGTTCTCCAAAACCATAAAGAAGCTCAGCATTTCTGTCAAAAAATGGAAAATAATGAACAAAAAAGCGAGAAAATTTCTTATGCTAATAAATGTGCTTTAGATAGTGTTTCGGACTCTTCTAAACTAGATGAAGCTGTACAAATTAATGACACCAGATCTGCAAACAAAAAATCTATGATATAAAAACAGAATATAAAAATTATATGGTAATCGTTAAATTTTAAATACATGTCGTTTCCAATTTCTACTGTAAATATAGTAATAAGTTACTTTAAGTATTGTTCATATACCTTATTGATGTAAATGTGTATTGACGTATAATTATGAATACACATAAGTAATTATTTTACTTATATATATATGTTCAAGTTATGTTAAAAATAAACAACTATAATTAACTCATAGTGGTAACACTTAACCAAAATTTTTTACTTACCAAGCAGAATTTTTTTTTGTTTCGCAAAAGAAGTTCATCCAATGCAGAACAAGTTCTTCACTATTTTAATGAAAATAATGCTTTCTGAAACTTCGTTCTAAAAAGTTAAGTAAAAATAATACATACATTCGTTCGTTCAGTAAATTGTTTAAAACTTTTATGTACCAGTACTATATTGTAATTATGTACAACTTGTTTAATGTATGTAGATGAGAGAGGTACAACAAAATTTTTCTGAATATTCTCAGAAATTTGCGCATTTTCAATGTATTTAAATAATAATTAATAATACTTTAGGCCAGAAGTCAAACACATTATAAAATTTTTACGATATTCTTGGCATCTGAGTTTATAGCATACAATTACCTTAGGTCACACACTACTTGAATCTGCTGATTTTTTGAAAAATATGTTTTTTTTTCCTTTCGACATATTGTGATTTTTATCCTTTCCTCATTCAAAATTGCTTTATTTTTTTCACCATAATGTCAGGATCATAACATATATTGTTTTTTTTTTTTTTTTTTTTTTTTTTTTTTTTTTTNATTTTCTTAATAAAAACTGGACGAAATGACAAAACAAGATTATTTATAAAATATAGTACAGCCATAATAATGTTTTATGATATAAAACTATCTATGAAAAGAGCGGTGTTGGCTCAGTGGTAAGTGTGCTTGTTACTGATACAAAGATGAATACAAATTATTAGAGAATATGGGATAACTTTGTAGCTTTCTAGTTTAACCTTTTTAATTTTTTTACTCTTGATTAGCACTCTACCTTTTTTTGAGGTCCATAACGTTAATTAAAGTATTAAAAAAAAAAAAAAGAATATACTGGCCATTCTTGGCTTACTTTTTTTCTTGTTTAGAATTTCTATGATATTCTGTGGTTAGTTAACATCTTTTTTTCCTTGATATTTTTCTTGATTGAAGTATTTGCCGTGATACTTTCCAATAACTTGTACAATGTATCTAATAACGAAACCCCCTACAGTATTCTTCTTTTTTATTCCTCACTTTGTGTCGATAAAATTTTTTGTATATTAAACACTGTTCTTAGTTAAGCCTTATCCAATATTCCGTTTAAGATAATTGTCAACTTTTTCCATATAAAATAAACAAATTTTTTTTAAAACTACTGCCATCAGTCCATTTTCTCTACTTTTATACCAGCATTCTCATTTTTTTCACCTTACAATATTATCCTCATTTAATGTCATTCACTTTTTCCTACCACTCTACCTGCATTCCTTCTACTTCTTTTGGATAACCTTTTTTTTAATATTCGTGTGAGTAACCCATTTCTGGTCTTTTCTTTATTTTCAGGCACAATCGGTCTATAAAAGTGTCGAAAATGTAGCAAAAAAGAAGACTCAAAAGAGATGTTTAAATTTTAAGAAAAGTGAAATAACAAAATGTAAAGAAGAAAGCAAAGATATACTTCATAATTTTTTCAGAGCAAAATCGTTAAATGCCACTTACAAAGTCATGTAAATCGACTATCTTTAAAACTTTGTACCTACTTAAATTTAAATTTAGTGTAAAGATTCATTTTCATACCACAACCTAACAGTTAAAAATCCAAAAAATTATGACATGAGAAAAATTTTACCAACCTGAAAATTCTAAGAGCTTAAGAAATTAGAATTAGCTTTTTGCATTTAACTTTTAAGGTAGATATGTAAGGCCTATACCCAGTAATAAAAAATGTAGATCTTAAGAAAAATAGAAGTTTTGACTGAAAAAAGATATTTTTATACTCTTATAGCTGAAAAAAAATGTTTTTCCAGTTAAAAGAACAACTGTTTAGCTATATTTAAAAAAGTCAAAGACTCACACATTCAGCCACATAAATAAAGTTGTAGACCTCATAAAAATACATTTTTTCGGTATATT